AGAAATAACAAATATTAAGTGTGAAGGGATCAATAGTTTCTTAAATGTTCACAAATCACATTACTCAGTAACCTCTAAGTGAGTTGGTCAATTTCTTGTGGCCTAATTTCCCACTCCACTCAAACTCATTCAGCTCATTCCCATAGTAATTTCATGTTACATAGGAGGTTTTAATCTTATTTCAAGACAAAAATAGGAAAAATGCATACAGATATATTTTTTCTTAATCAACTAGACTCGCTTTTTCTAGAATAACAATTCTCTGACACTATTCAAATACTTTTAATATTAAACATATTTATTCCTACATTTAGGTCTTTGGCTTGGTAAGAAAAATGGATGACTTGTATGCTAACCTAACAATTACCAATCAATACAATAATTTGTTTTTCACACGTGAAAAAGTTCTTTACTCCCATTTCTATAAAAAAATTCCTAAAATGCCTCTTTTCTAAGGCTGGTTGATCAATAACTTGCTTTAACAAAACTAAAGAATCACTTGTTCTGTTATACTTGTTTCATGTACAATAAGACAACTATTGTTATTCAAATACAAATTCAATTCCAACTTACTCTATTTTTGAACTACATGATCTCAAAAGTCCCTTGGAGTTCTAAAATTCTATGATTCCATGATGCAGTAATACAACTCTCAATACAGGCCAGAAAACAGCTTCAAAGCTAGCTCCTGTTAATCATTTGATCAGATTACCTTTAGCCTAGGTCTGGGGAATGAGAGAAACTTTGAAGAGTAAACAGCAGTTGTATAGATACTAGGGACCCACATGTCATCTGAACATTTATGCTTGTAAGCTCTCTACCCTTATCCAATTCACTAGGATTAATATCATCCTGACTGGTCCCCAGCAGACACAGGACGGAGCTCAAGCTTGCGCTTGTGCCAAACTAGAACAGACCTGACTCTGGAGTCAGCCCCTCCAAAGCAGGGCCAGGCTAGGCCAGCTCTTGAGGTGGAGCTGGCTAATAGGCATTTTGTTCTAGGCCCATATTCATAAACACAGACGATTCCCTCTGTTGCTCTCACTTCTAGAATGCTTTAGATAAAATAAAACTTAACTTGTAGCAAACTGAAAGTTCTTCTGAATTGGAAAATATTTTAAAAATAAATTCAACTTTATTATTTTCAAATGCATGCATACTAGCGAGCTTTTCTGGGCAGTCAAAGCTTAAGACATTTTTTTCTAGAGTAAAAGCTGATGTTTCTAAAGGGGTTGAGAGCCCTTAAAACTTTGTGTTCCTAAATATCTTAAAATCTGCCCAAGAAATTTAATTTAGACTAACAGATGACACTTCTCATGAAAAATGATTTGCCGAGTAAAGTGAATTTCAGCCCAGGTTATGCGGAATATCAAGGAATGAGATTTACTATCGTTAACAGCTCACAACCAGTTAACAGGTCTTTTTGTCTGAGGCTTATTGCTAGAAGTATCATCTTCCTCCCTAGGCAGTACATTTAGTGGGGGAGGAAACTATCAGTACATTGGTTGTGGCTTTTGGTTGATCAACTTTGAATATGTTTTCAAAACAGGAAATCCAGAGATTCTGAAAAGGATTCCTGCCTGTGTGTCAGTTTCCTAGGCTGGTTTTATGCTTGATACATGTACTTGACATTAAAATTGTATATGAATAATTTCAGAAGTGTTCTTTGAAGTGCTAACTCATCCTATTAAAAAAAAAAAAAAGCAGCAGCAACAGCAGCAGAAGAAAAAGATTGGCTACTAATAAACATGCTGGCAAAAATAACCGAAGAAAAAATAAATAAATAAATAAATAGAAATTCAAGTCAAACTATAATAAAGGCATAATTAAGGCAGCAAAACAAAACAGTCATTGAAGCTGATCTCTCTTGGACAGATAATAAATGATAGAGTCAATGTTTGTGGCCTCCTAGTAAAAAGGTAAAATTTTGCAACAGCTCTTATAAATACTTGCTTTTTATTACATGGACTAACTTTTTTTTCCAGATAAATCTAACTCTTCCATATTGAATCTGAACAAGCACTACCTACCTAAAATCTTAAATTGATACACACACATATTGATATATATGTATGCATGTATATGTTTATATGTAACTATAAAACCTTTCAATACTGACATACCTGGAATGTCAAAGCATGAGGAGTTATCATAGCCTCAGGGTGAATACAGTCCATTGATTCTTTACATCTCCAAGTAGCAAAGGCTATCACTCTGTTAACTGGTTTCTGAACATGGAACACTGGTGTGACAAGTTCTACAAGACTGCTGACAAGAATTCACACACCACCTTGGAGCCACAGAAACACCTGCAATGGCCACAGGGGGGCCCTCCGTCTGGGTGGTGGATGCAAATGTGCCTCGCTCCTCTAGAGTCAATTATGCCTTTTTATTCTGCCTCAGCAATTGCTACCAAAAGCAACAGTGGCAGCTCTGGCTGTGGAAGACCTGTGGTTGCTTTTGACCTTGCATCTCTTAGTGCAAATACTCACTTAATAAATATTTAATAATAACTATCATGACTCATTGGGAGCTCGGCCTCTAGGGCTCAGGAGGTCTATTGCTAATCCCAACCAACATGATTTACGGGAAATAAATGATCTATGACGTGCTCGAGGAGAATAAAAGTACATACAGGATGCTTCTACTTAGGGCTTTTTTGGTAGAGAAAGAAATAAACAAGTTAAAAAGAGACAAGATTTTCTCTTCTAAAAGTCTATGTAAACTTAAAGGGGGGCAAGGGGTGGGGAGAGTTCTCCAAACCCCACAAAGTCAAACCAAACCAAATTATCCTAGTTTAGCTGTGCAATCCCAATGTAACCACATCAAGTGAGCCCCGTCTGCCTGCAAAACATCACTTAAACTGGAGCTCTGACTTATTGTTCTCTTACTGCCCTAGAGCAATTTTGTTTTGAAGAGCACAGAACACCCTGTTCTGAATGTGGCTGGCACATGAACTCGATGTGCTGACAGCAATTTGTACTCCGATTAAAATAGGGGGAAAAAGGAAAGAGAATGCACAGCAGTTACAAAAACTGGAATACAAGAACCCAAAACTGTACAATTTGTGTTTTGGGAAGCAAAACTGAGAAAGAGGCTCCATAACTTTTAAAAAAAGAAAAAAAAAAGTGCTGTAAATGCTCCAGTCTAAAGATGTTAGCTCTGGTAAGTGTCTGTTTTTCCCTTTTCTAATTATAGTAGTTGGTGTCTGATAGCTTTGCACTCATTCCCAAAACAATTACTGGGTCATGGGGATTTGAATGGGAATGTTGTAACGGCATTACTACTAGATAAGACCAGTCATTTGGCCAGAGAAATCCAGGTTGTGACAGGTTACTCCAACTCGGCAAGGGTTTTCTCTGCTGCCTAATTCATGCCAAATGAGTTTCTCTTGCCTATGTCTCCTGCCTGAGAGTATCCAGGAGATAGTGGAATCTCAGTAACTCCTTGAAAAGGCAAAGGAGGAAGCAGAGATGGACTTCTAAAGGCAGCAGGGGTGTACTGCAATTGAAAAGGAGAAGCAAAACAGTTCCCATCAGGGAACCAAAAAAAAAAACCCAAAACCCAAACTCACTGCCATCGAGTTGATTATGACTCATAGCAACCCCCACT